GGGGGGCAGGGTATTGGGGGGACTTTTTTAGGTACGTTAGAGGGAGGGAACTGCCATTTCGTCAAAATGGACATCTTTTATTTTGTGAACGAAATTGAAATCGAGTTTTTTGATCGAAAACTCGTCAAAATTTGTTGTTCCTGAGGGTCCGGCGTTTGCCCCCTGGCTGTACATGGACCTAGCTTGAGACTAGGTACCTCCAGGCAGTCTTGCCTGGAGATGCCTCGTCTCAAGCTAGGTCCATGTGCAGCCAGGGGGTCCTGCGTTTGTAAAACGCTGGACCCTCAGGAACAACAAATTTTGACGAGTTTTCGGCCAAAAAACTCGGTTTCAATTTCGTTCAAAAAATAAAAAATGTCCATTTTGACGAAATCGTCGCTCGGGGCCAACACCGTGGGGGGATGATAGATGTGGGGTGGACGGGGTATTGGGGTGGTGTAGGTGGGCTGACGAGGTGCGGGTGTTGGGGTGGAGCGGTTCGGAGGGGTGGGGGTTCTGGGGTCGACGGTGGAAGGACGTGCCGACGGGCCACCAGGGCCAGGGCGGGGGCGACTGGGGTATGCCGGGCTTTTTTTTTCAGTATCGCATCACGAAGAATGCTGCCCACCACCCCGTAGCCCCTGGCGTGTGCGCGCGAGAACCAGTGTCACGTACAAATTTTGCGCGCCATGTGGCACGCTGCGCATTTGAACGCGATTGAACCGCGTTACCGGTCCGTTTGAACGCGCGTTCGGCGCGTTGAACGCACGTTCAAACGGTTACACAGGAGTGCGGTGTGTTTATAATCACATATGCATCGCTGTTGGCGAGAGGGTTTCTACCAGACTGCCACCATTTATCTTCACGTCAAATGATATGTAATGACCCGTCAAAACACAGACTGAGAACACTGCTGATTTCTGAAGTTCTGCCGATGGAATGGATGCCTTGCTGAGATTCCCGCATTCTGCTGTGTTTTCTAAGTCTGTCTGTGTGTGCGTGCTTGTGACCTGCGTGCCTGTCTGAGTGCTTGTCGGTATGAGTGTGTGTGTGACCCGCAAGGGTACTTGCTCGTTTGGTGGGCCTGTAGGGCCGGTACTTACCTGTGGACGTGGCATTGAGGGTTGCAGCAGGGAAAACACTCGGGTAGCGGAACCAGGGGCCCACGGTGCTTAGAGCAGCGGAAAAACACTCAAGTAGCAGGTAGGCCGGTACCGCACCCAGTAGCGGTAGATGTGCCGGTACTCTAGGCCGAGCAGAAAAAGACAAAGTCGGCATTTTTAGAGGCCCAGTAGCGGTAGGCTAGGTCTAGGCCGGTACCAGTCCATCCAGTCTGAGTCTAGAGCCTGTACGTGCAATATCAGAGTCTGCAATAATGTTTCCCTCCGAAAGGGAGGAGGTACCGGTTGCTTGGGAGGCCGAGCGGCCTGGAAGTCACCGCCCAAGAGGCAAGCAGGCCGCTATATCAAAAGGCGGAGGCAAGAGCTCAGCCTCATTCTTCAGTGTGCAATTTTGGCGACACACTGCTGGAGCGCTGGCTGGAGTAGCGCTGGGTACTACAGCGCTGCTGGGAGGCGACACGCTGCTTCCACCTTGGCTATGGTGGAGCTCTACCGGTAGGAGGAGGAGGGAGAAGGGGACCAAGGAGGAGAGTGGTGGGGTGCTTACCTGGCTATGGCAGACACCATCTTTATCACCTTGTTAGGCGCTGCATCTGGAAGGCCCCAGTGGGGGTAGTGCCGCATCAAGGAAGCTCGGGGCACAGTCAGGCATGGCGGTTGAGTGGGCAGCGGCATAGCTGCATGGTAATGACCTTGAATGGGGCAGCGACATAGCTGCTTTGGGTTGTCCTTTGGACAGGAGGCTGAAGCCTCAGTAGTCCGCCATAGCCTCGGCCTGTATGTAGAAGAAGAGGAAGGGTGGCCATGGCTATGGTGGACCTCATGTTGTGCCTGAAGTAGAAGTGGGATTCGGACATGGATTCTGGTTCAGTCATTCAACATTATTATTGTTATTTCTTGTTTGAATAAGAGGGGAGGAGATAAGGAGGAAGAGATTGGTTGGCGAAGAAGAAGAGCCTTGTCATTGGTCTATGCTGGAGTACATCATCTTCTTCTTCTTC